ATAATTTTATAATTCATAATTTTATTTATAATTATAATTTTTATGTCATTTAAAATTTTCAACTTCAAAGTGTCAGATCTATTATTAAATTTACATATTTTTATAAAAAATTAACTCATAATATATTTACAAAACACAACATTGAAGTACTTGTTGCATATATTTTTTTTTTATTAGAAAGTGTATTGTCGGTATTTATATGTACTCATAATTTCAGTAATAATAAATGTAAATATGTAGTTTATCTCTTGTAAATGTACAGTTTTGAACATGTTTTTTTTGGACGCCTACGGTTTTTTTTAATCATTAGGTTTTATTATAGATTATTAATATTAAATATTAACTTAAAATAATATAATATAATCATAATAACTATATTATTTCCTCTTAAACTTACATTTTAAATGTTTCATAATTGTTAAATTTACAATTAGCCAATTCATTGACTGCAGCCAAAAAAGTAACCATAAAATTGAATTACTTACATAATCTAGTTTATAAATCGTGTCATTATACTAAAACTATAAAATAACCAATATATAAACAAAATTGTATATTTGTCGATTACTTTTAATACAATCTTTCTTTCCTATTAAAAAATGATAACATTGTAAAACTGCCTTCACGCGTTGCATCGCAATCGTCTACTCGATCCCTCGACTGCCAAACGGCGGCAAACGTACGAAAGTCATCCATTATTCGGCTGTCTGCTTATATTAGAAACGTCTGCGGACTTCGAGCGAATGCAATTTATTTTACGAATATGCTCCAACGGCTAATTTTTCATTTCGACGTCTCTAGATACTATTGCGTGTCCTACCCCTTCCGACCCCTCTAAAAAAGAGAAACATGCGTGCGTCCGAATTGGAAATGCATTGTGAGACAGCCGGTGAATACAAAAACGGTATAGCTGTGCAACTCGTTCTTGAACTATGACACAGATGCCTAGCTGTATCGTTGGAGTGTCCGGTATAATTCACGTATTATACGATCGCGATTTCCACCCCTTATATAAGCGTATAGTTTAAATCTATTAACCGTTCCGGGTATTTTTCTTTTGATACGGCGCCAAGAATGGACAAACGACGAGGGCTGATAGTTGGACGCGGTAAAGCTAAAGAATTTATTGCAGCCCAGAGGTCATAAGCGTAGGGGAGGAACGGATGCACTCTTTAACGAGCCCATGGGAAAGATTTCGCTACCCATCCTCCGTTTCCTTCTCTACCGTGTTGTGGCATCTGAGACTATATGAAAAAATATCTCTTAACGTCCATTGTCGCTACCATTTTCCAGCAGTAAAGGTCAATAATAAGATGGTTATTGTGTAGTACATATAGTTCTACCGATAAATGGCGCGTTCATTTAATCAAATCACCTTAAACGATGGAAAAATTCAGCAAGGGGAGCGATGACATTACTATTATTACAGCAGATTTATATAAAAAAAAAAAAAAACCTTATTCTTTTTATACCATAGGGGAGAATGGGGCAAATTAACGCTTGGAACAGGATGATTTTCTTCGGTTAAAAAGATATATAGAATTTTTCACAAAATTTTTATCGAAACATTTTTAAACATATTAACCAAATAATTATAATTTTTTTTAAAAAAACTTAAGTTAACACATATGTTGATTTTAAGTCGCACTAATGCGATTTATGCTTTTTTGACTTAAACTTAAAATACAAACAGTAAACCCATTTTCAATTCTCCACAACTTTATTTTATAGAAAATGATCAACATCAAATCGAGTGTTTACTCGATTTAATGATGATCGATTTAAGAAAATTCGTTTAACATAACTTTATTTTGATATTCAAACTCTCTAAGCTGAAAAGTTTTATAAAATCAAATAAGACTCAAATATATATTTAAAATATGTACATATCAAAAATTGTCTGGTGAAACTAAAAAGAAATTTTTTTAATTTAAGAATTAATCAACAATTCTTAAATTTAAATATTGTATATTGTGTTCATAAACATTGCATTGGAACTTTTTTTTTTAATGAGTAAACTATTAGCAAAACTTAATATAAAAAATTGAAAAATGGAAATAAATCGTTTCAAATTCTATGGCACAATAATTTATTTTTTAATTAAGACTAAAAGTTATCAAGTTAATTAAAATTTTTACTGTATAATTTTAATTGAAAAATGTTAGCTAAATTAACATTCATGTTGATGTCAGGTGCGCCTTTCCTATGATAATAATTTTATATCTGTTCGGAAGAACTTAGTACCTATCAAAACACACGCCACCAACAATTATTAATTTGATTAAAGTAGCCCAAAGTTATTAAAATTACATTAATTATCATCAAAACATAACTCTATTGCTTTACACAGCTCTATGTCTAATATTAGTATTATGGTGTTACAACAATGCAGGAAAACCTCATATAAACATTGCAGTGGCGTGTATTCAGAAGGGTCAAAATGCAGTGGTGTCTTGTGAGTAGGGTTGTGATAGTGTTGCGTGACAACTACGTACCAGGAATATTTTTGGCGGTGATAATACACACTCTGTGCTTTAGTTTTCGCAATAACTGTGCACAACAAAAAGCTCATCTTCTAAGTAAAAAAATAACTTCGTCTCAGACAACAAACAAACAATACCCGAGCATACTGTCTTACAAAATAGTAATAAATAAAAAGGAATTATGAGGTTATGGGTTTAATAATGGCAGGATAGAATAAGAGAATCAAAAGGATTTGGTAAAAGAGCAGGACCTGGAATTGAAAATATTAATAATAATGCGTATACCACTCGATAGTCATAAAAAAAAGAATGTTCTTTTATTATGCACCACATCTTCAGCAGACTGTAAACTCTTCGACGTTTTGTCATATCTCATAGAATACCTTAGGAATAAACGTACATAACTTTTTTTATAACCATTTTAGTACCATCCAAGCTTTATCTCGATAACACAATATTTGAGACTTCAAGTTGTTGTTTAGTTATTAATCTTTACTCCGCATCCTATGAAATGTCGTACTTCGATTAGTATTTGTTAAATGTGTCTATCTTAAACCATATAAAGGTACTTAAACATATAGCTATACCAAAGTACTAGAACAATTGAAGAACTTACTATTTATATCAACCTATAGAAATGAATTTCAATTTTACCATAGAAAATTATACTAAACAATTTTATCCGTTCGAGAATAAATGTAAAATAATATAGAAAACCATACAAATATGTTTACTATTTCTATGAAAACTCAAACAGACAAACATTTTTTTATTACAATAACTTCAAAAATAAGTGCAAATAAACTGCTTTAGGTATTTTTTCCTATTTCTTGGAATAGTTTGGAAACCGTAAAGTATTGAAATTTCTCGGTTTATATTATTATTACATTTTTCACAAAATGTACGATATTTTTGCACCTCTTTGGAAATTCAATTTAGTGGAGCATGGAAAAAATAAATAAAATCATCTTATCGCATTACGAGCTCCGGATGCCGACAACACGTGCTTGTTTAATACGTGTATGTATATATTTTCTGCATCGGAAAAAAAGTTGATAAAGTGTTCAGCTGCAGTTGTTCGCAAAACTTTTTTCATGTTCACAAAATCAAATAAAGATCGAAATTTTATTAGTTACAGCAAAGTATAGTCACTATGGGAAAATTGAACCGTGTCCATTTAAAAATTGCTTCTTTGAAACAAATGTTTTTCAAGCACTTAGGGAAACCTTTTTTGTCTAAATAAATACAAAAAAAGAGAAACCTCTTTAACGTTAAAACTCAGTTGGACTAAAAGTAAACTACCTATTGATGTCATAAATCGTTTTAAAGATAAAGTAAATATATAAATTTTAACTAAATGGGAATTTTTAGATTAATTTCCAATTGTTTAAATTCAGTTAAGTTATATTAAGGCTTGAAACATTGCAATAAAGGTGCATAATAAAATAGTATATAAAAAAAAATTTTATAAGCAAGTATTTATACTTATTATTTCTTAAAATGTTTTTATTAAATCAATACGTCTATAAACTTTTTGAAAATATTTCCATTAATCTTTAAACTCAATTTTCAAAATATTATGTGTATGTTAGTTTCAAAAGTACCTCCATAAAAATAAAAATTCAAGTAAAATAAAAGTGCATTTCTTAAGATATAGTCATTGATGTCTTACTTTAATTTAATAATTTTAAATTCAATTTGTCCAAAAAGTAAGGAAATATGAAAAACTACTTGTTAAATTTTTCTTTTATAAGAAACTGTATAAACTTTCTTTTATTGTCAAGCATATAAAAATTCAAAAGAAATCTTTTGTTCCTGTTGACAACTTGACATCACATGTCTCAGTTTGGACATTTATTTTTCTAAATTACATTAAAAAAATTCTAACTTCAAACAAACAAGTGACGCAGGATGGTTTTAAAACAATACATCACTCATTTGTGGTTTATTTATGGTGTACAGCACAACTATAGTAATCTGTAAATAGGTACTTATATCCACCCCTTTCATTCCAAGAAGTCTTTAATCGCGTTTGCTTACTAGTTGAACTAATTAAACCAGTCTTTTGAAGCATTTCGCTTTATGTACTATAGACTGCGTATATCAGATAGAGTGGTGAAAATATAACGGGAAAGATTAAAAACAATTCGTATGCAAGAAAAACAGACGCGCACCAAATTACCACGACAGTGTTCTTCTATTACCGCTGTTGTTTTTGTTATTTTTACTTACACACGTTCTTTGTTATTTGCCATTCCCTTTATATAATTGACATAATCCGGCTTATTTGTTTGAGCATTTCTGCCTACTTTGTTGAGAATTAAAGGGTATGTCTTTCTACCAGAGTCTAAACTTGTAAAACACTGGATCAATTACTGCTCTTTTAACCATTTTATCCACTCCCGTTTTTCTTGTAATTACTTTAACTTACCTGGAAAACATTCTATAAGATACACAATTATAAGCTATTGTGTATATTGTAACAGTTGAAATTTAATGTTTGAATTTTCTTTTCAGGTTAAAGTCATTCTTAGAGTGGCTAAAGGGCAGGCTGATGAATCTGTTGAAGATCAAGACAAACAAAGTAACTTTATGTCAGTGGACCAGAAACATAGACAACTTACATTGATCGATCCAAATGCTCCGACTCCGTCTAACGACGGTAGCCGCCGTGTAGGTGTAATAGCTCCAAAGATGTTCGCTTTTGATGCTTTGTTCACACCAGAAGACACTCAGGTGAATTATAATCTTATTAACTAAATATGATTTAAGACTTTTAAAATTAATATACGAATTGCGACTAAACTTTATAAGTATACAATTTGTATAATATTTATAAACAGTAAATGTTGAATGCATGACAGAAAAATCTATACTCTATTATATCTGAAATAAGTAACTATTTATCTTTGCATATAGTTTACTCTTTTAAAAAATTGTTCGTATTTTCACATACATGTACTGGAATTTTTTAAGACATACAATGCAAGGGAAATTTTTCCTAGACAGTGATGAAAATGTTATATTTTAGTACGAATTTTCAATACTTCATGTCAAAATTACACTACTTCTATGTAAAAAATATCATATTGACGCATGGGAAATTTTGGTTCATGTCTTTTATATCTTTCTTTTTTCATGTTTACTATCATCCAACATTTTGTAACATGACTTAATAAATAATAAAGTTTTACAAACAATAGCCAGCTCAAAAAATATTAAAGGATTGACGAAAATAATAAAAAGATATCCGAATACGTCAAAATATATATTATGTTTAGTAGGCTTGTATAAAAAAAAAGGATTGTATCATATATTATCTATACCCGGTTTGCGCAATGCAGAGAAAGTTTGAAGTCGTTGATGGCGAAGTGCAGGTATAAAGCATTTAACTGCATTCAGAAAATGTTTTTTGGTTCTTTGAGAGGAGAAGGTGAATAAATGCTATTTAGTGGACTGGAGACAGTATAATTCGCCGAACGGACATAAATCTCTTTCGTGAGTAAATGGTTGTACAACCCTACGACTATATCTCTACTATTATCACTACAGAGCCATAATTGTATCTCGAAGAGCTTAAACGTATGGGTTTCCCGGTGATAAAGATGGTGGTTTACTGCCTAATAAAAATCCGGTTAACGGATATCCGTTTTTTTTGGAAACGTTTATCAGAGGCATTTGCGATAATTATTTCATTACAAAATGCTGTTGACAAAAAGGTAGGCTTCTCGATCATTTAACAATTATATACTACTGTATGTCATGCGAGAAATAATTTTTTTTTTTCAAATTTCTTTCAATGAACCAAAAGTCAAATTCCTTGAAATATTTTAAAGTTTAAAAATATTATTTTAATAATTGAGTCCAATAAATATTTATAATTATAATAAAATAACATATTTTGTCAGTTTTTCCAAACAAATTCTAAACAATGAAAATTTCTTTTTAAACTTAAAATAACATTTTTTTTTTGGTTCTTGGCAATTTAAAAAAAGAACAGTGAATAATTATCATGCTGGTGTTATCCTAATATTGGCATTAAATTTAAGGAATTAGTATATGTCATGACATCCAAAACACGTCTCACTAATATATAAAACATTTTTGCTAGTACGATTTGTACGCAGTTCATGCACGTAGTTTCATATTAATCTTGTCCGGCTTACTTTTCTCTAATTCACTGATTCCTTTAGATTTACTTATATAAATATTATATAAACTACGTGCATGATAAAAATATCGTGTCAAAATATATCATCAACAATAAGTATTGTGTTTTAATAAAAACTGCACCTAATACAATAAATAAAACTCAATCATAATTAAAAACAATAGATCTAAAAATATAACCACTACTTTTTGTCAATTTATTGATCATAAATATCTACTATTATATTATACTGTATGAATTTATAACGTTTAAGCGGTATACAGTTTATACGTTCTATATAGACAACAGGAATAATTTAATTTTCAAACTGAATATTCCATTTACAAGTTTAAATAAACTCGGAGTTACTATGATGCGTTAAAATTTAACCGAGTATGTGTCAGCTAAAATTTAATTTACTAACATGGTCAATGGAAATCATGACATATTTATAATTTTCATTTTTTCGACTTCATAAATGTTAAATCGTATTTTAAAACTTTTATAATATAATTAAATATTTGATTTGACAGGTGGACGTATGTAGTGCAGCTTTAATGGACGTTATACATGCTGTTATCCATGGAACTGATGGCTCAGTGTTTTGTTATGGTCAACAAAATTTAGGTAATTGTAATAAAATAACTTTATTTAATATTGGTAACTTCTCTGATTGGCTGTTAATGAAATAGGCGAAATACTAACATTTTGGTATGATTAATACATCTAGTATTTCAATTTAAATTAAACTGAATAAAAAATACAATGCTAAATATCAAAAATTTGGTAAACAGTGTGCATACACTCAGCTCGTGTGGCTTGTAAAACAATTCGAATGGTTAAGTTATGAATAATTTCTACTAAAATTAGAAAAGTTTTATTATAAATACTACTAAACGTATTATAATAAGTATTCAAAATCATAAAATGACACTGAAATTCTAATTAAAATCTGTAAATCCAGAAAATTGTATTATTCCTAATATTGTTAATATGTTTATTATATGCAAAGACTTTGGTCACATTTCAAATTCAACAGGCGACAACTGCAACGCAGCATCAAGACTTCTTATACGTATTATTTTCTACTCCCACGGTATTCTCAAAATCTACCTTCATCTGCACCCTGAGTTTCCTGTCAAACTTCGCTGATTGTAATACATTCTCATCCTCGAGTAAACTTCATTATATGTCCCTGTTGTCTTTTTCCGTACAGCTATCCATCTGCAGCATTTTATGCATTCAAAAGCTGTCGGTAAACTTTAAACAAGGACCCCGCATCTCTATTCATCAACCCCATACAAGCCTTGAACCTCGGCCGGTACACAATCGTCTTTTACACACGTACTGCCACGAATACATAATCACAATTCGCTATGAAACAGGCGACAGTCGTTGTCGTCCTTTAGACACCTAGTATATCACAATGTTCTTTTAAATAGGAATTAAATTAGCTAGATGTTTTGGAATAGGCATTAAAAATTTACCAATTTTAGCTTTGGAACACTGTATTACTATCATTTGATTAGATGTTTATGTATAATCACATCATTAATTGATTCACGCATAAGTATTTTAATTTCAAAATAATTACTTCAGAATTTTTATATCTGCGTTATCATAAAAAAAATTTAATTGAATGAATAAGTAATTATAATAACAAAGTTAAATAACGAAATTTTTCTCTCTAACTCTACATAATTAAACTAAGAATCACATTAATATATTTGGTTACCAAAATCTCAAAGCGATGTGTTTGCATAGGGTAAATTCCTTTAGGTTATTTATTTAGTTTGTGGTTTCTTCATAATTTCACAGAGTTAACCAAAAATACATGCATCGTAGAAGTATAGAACAAAGTTTCGTAGTAAATATTTAGATTACTGTGAATGATATCATGACATCTGTCGTTTTTGTTCTTATGTGTTGAAACTTTAAGCCTTAAGAGACATTTAATTTAACAACTTCACTTTTGGTTACCTCCCTCAGTGTCGACTTAGCAAAGCATATATTATGAGAAAAATTACTATAAAAAGTGTCTAAAATTTACTGGTTATGACACGGCAATCAAAGTAAAAAATTATTAAATAATAGTTTCATTAATAAATCTTAAATAATTTTAATAAAAATAAATAGATAATTTTTAAGTTGTTACAAATTAAAAAATGTTTCATTTAAAATTTTATAAATTATATAAGTATTCTATAAATTATAATTATATATCTATTTATTTTATTTTAGGTAAATCCTACACAATGATAGGATCTCCCGATGATCCACAGACGTACGGAGTCATACCTTGTGCTATATCGTGGCTTTTCAAGGGTATACAAGAACAAAAAACTAGAACAGGCACACGGTTTTCAGTGAGGGTGTCGGCGGTGGAAGTGTCAGGACCCGCAACTCCAATCAAGGATCTACTTGCCGGTCAATCCAATGGTAATTTTGAAATGATTATTTTTGTGATACGATCGCTTAATAGCATACGATAGTGGTCAATTAAAGTCAGAATAAAACTCTTTATCGTTCCTTATACTTTTAAATAAACTTTTCAACGATATAGCACGAGTAAATCCAATCTCAACAGCAAAAAAATCCCCTAGAATTTTAATATCAGGATTATCGGTTAACGTTAGAGGGGTATGTTTTTTTTTCAACTTTTATCGTCCTTTTATTCGTACATGAGGGTGCGGGGCGTGAGAAAACAGCTAAGGTTATTTAAAAATTTTCAAGTTGGGCAAAAAACCATATACATTATGTTAAAAACCATCATCGTGGCTTGGAAGAAAAAAGAGCGAATAAAAATAGTAATCCTAACGGTAAAGAGCAAAAAAAAAAGTAACCCCCCGGGAAAGAATCACGGATTTACGCCCTTTCTTAAGCGTATTTTCTCCCCGAAGATAAGCTATGCGCTGTAGTCATTTCTATGCTGACATTTGAATATTATACTCATCGATACGGAGACGCTTTATAGTTTAAAACGGCGATACACACATATATTTACACCCGCCGCAATGGGATTTCGTTAAAGAAAACATCTGAACCCTGTACCATGAAGTCAGAACACTTTGGAATACAATAAATTTCCCCACGCGAGTAAGTTTGTCGTTCGTACATTATACTCTTTTTACGTCGCATTAAATACACTCTGCAAAAACATGTCCATAAGTGAATATACCAATTTTATCAGATTATGTTCTACGCGTCAATTTATCATTATCTTTCGGTAACTCGTGGTTCGTTTCTGTAATGTATGTCTGGACCGATAATTATAAACTTTCATATAAGATAAATGTAGCCGCATTAAATTGTTTAATTTTTTACATATTAGTTTCAAAATGATATTATTAAAAAAAACTTCAATTAAACAAGATCTTATAACTTAATTAATATAAAAATATAGAGCCACGAGAAACTATGTAACTACAGTATAATATGTTAGTTTAACGTTTCATTAAATCAGATAAACTGTTTAAAGTATTCAAAACAACAATATAGGATTATTTAGTAGTGTGCAAAATATAATAATACAATATAATATATTCTATATTAGAACTTATATTATATGTTCAAATATAACAATTGATTTGGAAAGTAATTTTTATTGACATAAACCCTAAGTAACATCACCTATACAAGCTTTAAAGCCAAAGTACATTGTTTAATCGTTAACTGATGAAAATTTGTTTATAATGCTTATTTGCGTTATACGTAAAGGGCAGCGTTAAGCCCTCTTTTAATTGTTAACTTACATGCAATTTTTGTGTAAATATGAGTTAAATCAAGTCAAATTCATAGTTATTCTGTGGATATATTTAATTGAGATACTTATTTATAACTAATCATAAATTTTCTATTTAAATTAAGAATAATTATTATTTTTAAAATACATTCAAAAATATCCTCAACATTTTAGAAGAAAAATATTGTTTTTCGTATACTAATACAACTTCAATCAAACACATTCATAACTTCAATCAAATTTTAATTTATCACTTAGATGGAAATATTATTGGCATGTCTATTAAAAATATTCTGAAAATTCCAAATGGTTATAATAAAATTTTATATTGTTAAATTTAATTTTAATTTAACGAAATTACATTGTCACACAAATTATGTATAAGGCTAAGCAATTTTTATCTTATTTTTTCAATATTTTTCATTGGTGTACTAGTGGTCAAAACATACTTCTCTTTTACTTATTTACTCCATAATTAATTTATAGGAGCTTTGTTCAATGATTCATGTAACCCTCAAAATACGAAAATTTAACATCAAAGTTTGTAAGACAAATATCACCTTTGCTATGCCTAGCGTACTTCTGTAATCTGAACCCCTCTACTCGTACTCCTTGATATATTCCGTTTGTTAATAAATGCTGTATATACTTCTCTTTCAACCAAGTTTATTTTGTATGTTCCAAAAACCTATTGCTGCATCATGGTTAGTAGTCCATCGTTTTCGATTAGCACCAGTACAGTTTTCCATGTCGTCGTTGTCATGTTCTCTTTAATGTACATGGCAACGACAGTAGCTGTGTCTGGCCTGGGGATTATAATAAGCCTTAGAATATAAATAATCCCCTGACTCTACAGTCTACAACAAAGTACGTATGGAGACGGGGCGCCAAGCAAATGAGACATTTTTATTAAAAAGTTGCTCACGAAACATTTGTCATCTGACATTTCCAATGTATTAATCTTAATTTCAACAGTTGTGGCGTATGTGAAATTCATATAAATATGCCAACGCCACCTGGGATCAAAATTATTATTATTTCGTCAACACAATGAAATTCACACTTTCACTCCGCAAAAATGATAACATTTTGTATTTTTAACAGAAAATCTTAAAATTTTAATAAGCCTATAAATCAACGTACCATAAAATTAGTATACACCTCTTATAAACCTTGTGAGCTACGCAGGCGGCTGAATGAAAACTAAAAATGAAAAAGCTATCAAAATGTCTAACTTTTTAAGTAATATTTTTCTAAAATTTTTTTTATTTCGAGTATACAATTAGATATAATTTTAAATAACAAGTTTCTTCAGTAGTTCACAAAAACAATACATTAAATTCTAGAGCTAAGTAAAGCTAGTTTGAATTTTTGTTTAATTATATCTTAGATATCAATCACGTTATCTAAACAAAGCAATTTAATATGAAATTCCTCATGTTTCTGAGTCTTAAACGACTCCATTATTTTCAACAGAATATAATATTTTATTTTTTCCGTATGACTTTTAAAATATAACATTATAATTAAGTAAAAATTATTGTTAGACAATTAGTAAATTTTTATACCTCAAATGTATAATCATAAAGTCAATAAATAATTTATGGTAGGTTTAATGTGTAATGTTTATTTTCAATGAACCCAATTGAATCTTATATCTTTACTGTTAAACTAAGTTTAATTTCGTAACTATATAGTAAAACTCAACAAAAAATTTAATTTACAGACGGCGAAGATAATTTGCCAGGCCCTGGGGCATATTTGAGAGGAGAAGATCCAGTACTAGGTACGCCTGTTCAGTATCATAGTGAACTACGAGCTCAGACCATAGAAAAGGCAGCATACTATTTAGATGTTGCTTTAAAAATGCGAAATTCTTCTCCTGAATCACACATGTTATATACTCTACATGTTTACCAATACACTGTACCCACTGGATCATCAGCTGGTAAATTAATTTGTAGTTCTTAACTCAAATTATTAAGTAGAGAGTAATTATTTTACCTATTGGATTATTATTTATTTTAAAATTATGTTAATGTTGTCATTTATTATATTATAATAAAAATTTGAAATTCGAATTTATGATTTGAATGTATTAATAAAATGTATACTAGTAATATTAAATAAAAAGTTTACAATTCATACAGTTATTAATTTCTGTACCTTTTATTAAAATTTCTTAAATATTATTTAATAATTAAAACGTAAACTGCTTTAATTCAATTGTTTAGTCTAGTATATGTAACTATATTTAGCATAATAATTTATGTTAATGATTGATAATAAATAAAAAATATATAATTTTTAATGTAATTTTACAAAAATATTATAGTTGCTGGAGGTAGAAGCCGTTTACATTTATTAGATCTCGGAAGTTGTGAAAGAAGCAAATCCTCTGGAGGACTTACGTTGTCAGGTCTGGGAAATGTTCTTTTGGCAATATTCAACGGTCAAAAACATCTACCACATAGGTTTGTAGTACTATATTTTTCGTTAGGTTTTTTCCTTCGTTCGTTTTTATTTAAAATCATAATTCTATAGCTATAGCCACAGGGGGCGTAAGAATATAATAAGAAAAACATTTCCCCGTGAAATACAACCCGAAATCCTAATATAAGTGAGATATTGCTTGAAGGGTAGACGACAGTTCGATAATAAAAGTAGCTCTAACGTATGTCATGCGGTAGCTTTCTTAGGCCAATAGGGTGACAAAAGTTTTGGTAAGATATAAGGCTATTAGAACAAAACCTCTGAGATGATTCCCCTTTAGTGTTTATTTCATATTATATTATTTATATTTAAGCTTTCTAAATCACAAAACAAGATCTTACCTTAAACTTTTAATATTTCTTAGGAAAAAATAAACGTTTTATTAAGCCTGAGGGCTATTTTACCAGCCGTTATTTATACTTTAAATGTATTTATTTATAGAGAACAAAAATTAACACAGCTTTTAAAGGAATGTTTAAACTCGTTGACTTGCCACGCAGCAATGATAGCTCATGTGTCTTCGTTTGCCCAACAATACACAGAAACCCTTTCAGCAGTACAATTAGCTTCTCGTATCCATCGCATGCGCAGAAGAAGATTTAAGGTACATATAAATTTTATAATTATTATAAAATTTAATTAATCTAATTTTCTCATAATATTTTTTATAGTTTGTTGGTGTTTCCAGTGGATGCGGAACATCTACTGGTGACACAGACAATAAAGTTCAAAATGGCATGGGTCCTAATGAAATAGAACCTTCAAGCAGTGAACAGTCTGCTGACACCGTGATTTATGTTGGCCCAAGTGAAGAAACTGACGGAGAACATCCACCAGTTCATATTCCTAGTTTATCGGCTATCGATAACCGTTGTCATCCCCTAAATAAACTACTCCGGGAACCTGGTCAGAGTAGATCGACACCATCTTCACCACAAAGAATAATAACCTCAAAAACAGCTCCTGCTACTAAAGCGGCTGCAAAACCAAATGGAGTTAGCAGCGCGCGATCTTCACCTGTTCGCAATCCTAAATCATCAAGCAATAGTAAACGAGAACGACCAGAAGAAAGATGGATTGATGGTCCAAAAATTTCCAAATCTCGAGTTCATGACACAAGAGCTATGTTAATGTCTAAAAAGAAAGATGAAACTTGGATTGATGGCCCAATGCATGGTGGAAGTGTAACACAGCATTCAAGTGTTTACGGATTTATGGATTATCATAAAAAAAATATGATAAAAAAATGGGTCGAAAATCAAGTTTATCAAGTAACAGATAAACACAACAAACATCGTGAAATGAAGGAATATACTGCGCTCAAAACTGACGATTTAGGACCTAGAGGTAGAGCTAGTGGTCAAGAAGAAAATGGCGAAGATGATTCAAAAATTGATCGCTTGCCTGTTGCCACAAGGTCTATGGCATTAGAAAATCATCAGATCAGCAGAGGTAAAATTATTTTTTTATTTTATTGTACATTGAGGTTAATAATTTATTGATATGTATCTAGTAGTACCTATAGAGCGACTTAGAGGTTCTAACATCGAAGAATACAACGAAGAAGATGATGAAATAGAATTAGAAATTGTAGAGGTCGAGGAACTTGAAGAACCCGTTCCTACTCAAGATAGTTGCTTACAGGTATTTTATTTTAAATTATTTTTGATATCACACAATTTGTATAAAATAATTCATATTATTGTACCAAAACTAAAATGATATAATGTATATTTATAATGAATTTTATAAAATTAAAAAATAGGTTACTGAAGAAGATATTGCATTTTGCATGGGAGAACTAGAAAACCCATTGCCTGAAGTTGATCAAGAAGAACATCCTCTTAGAATACTCAGCCAAGAAAATATGACTGTAGTATCTACTTTTACAGGTATCTCTAATATAATTTTTAATTAGTTTTGAATAAATAAATAATTATTAACAATTACAACACTTTATAATTAGACTCTTTGTCTGTGGCTAATGATATCGACAGAGTGTTTTCAAGACCTAATACCAATTCATTTAGACAGTTCAATCATAGACTTCAATCAGTACCACAAAATGAACAAAAATCATCAAGAGGTAAATTCATTTTATACGTTTTTATTAATTATAAAATAATATATTTTTATTGAAATAAATTTTTTATGACAGTTATAATCATTTAATTTTTTTTTTTCATAAACGATTTTAAATATATAAACTCCATAAAAATTTACAAATTAAAAACTGATTATATACAATACTTTCTATATGTTTTCATATTAATAAAGTAAATAACATAGTAAAAAGTTGTTTACTTTTTAAATTTTTAATTCCAAGACATATAATAAAAATCTTCGTAAATCAGTCTTAGGTAACCAAAATGATAATGTTTTACAGATCAATATCGATATGAACAGCTATCACGATTACATGAACTATATAATGGTAAAGTTGGAGTTCCTAAACACGTTCCTAATAATTCTAACCATTCTACTTTACCATCGCGCCTACAATCAGCTTCATTATCTGATGTTTTCAAGAATGGAATTGGTAGTACAGATGGTCATTCTACAAACTTTGATCAAATTCAAATATCAAACGACTTTGATAATAACAGTATCGCTAGTGAGCCGGCGTATTTATTGGTAAGAAGTTAAAAAAATATTTTTTTTGTAATCTGAATAATTTAAATATAAATTTTAGAACGATAACAATCAATTTTGTCATAACTGTCGAACAAATTTAACTAGTACTGATGACTTAACAAGTAATCTATGGATGCATTATGGAGAACTTCATACTTTAAGCCGCTTTCACTCTTTTAAACATGTGTAAGTAAAATATTACTTAAAAAAATCATAAGTATAAAATCTATAGACGTGTCGGAACCTGGCCTTCCTTTTTAGAGCTCTGTAATTTTATTCAATTCTTGTTTTGTAATTCTTATAAACCAAGATTAAAAAAAAATAATTATTTCATATGAAAGTATTTTCTATATCATAGTTTAAAGTCCTAGTCGAGTGCTTTGTTATTATTATCATGTCTCAATCGTTTTATCGTTAAAAAGTTTTAAGCATTGAGTAGATAAAAATGTTACAGTTATTTTATCTTCCAGAAATTAGAAAAATTATTTGTATATATAAGTAGCCGGTTAGATAATACCATGTAAAAATTACATGTATTACACTTACGTATATTTATTTTTTCGCTGTCACTCGGCACAAGTAGTTTTTTATAAGTAGCGTTTTGTTATGTTTAACAAAATTATGAACGAAGAAAAAGAAAAATTATTATAAGACATATTTTATGCCTTTATATGTTTAAGAAATAATAAAAATGTTTTTTTAAATTAATAAATTTTAATTGGATCCATTTAAATTAATAATTTTTCTAATTTTTGGGATAACGAATTTTAATTATGGGAAGTTTCAACCTACGCTTATATATATTTTTAAAATTAATTGCGGAAAAAATAAAGAAATTAAATATTTTAACCATTTTATTTTATTAATGCTGAATATTTGGCTACCTGAATTTGACCTAGTACTCGACACTAGTACTCAGTTAATACATGTAATTACTACTCGGAACATCTCTAATAATATTAAATTTTTGGTCTTTATAGAAAAATTGATTTATATTTCAAAATCTTACTAATTGCTGATGAAAAATTATCAATATTATTTGATTAAATGTTACTATGAATCATTTTTTAGAAGCAGAAATATATCTAACTTAAGGCATCCAGATGGTGCATCAAATCCAAATCTACAGCTAGAATCGTATAGAGAGCCAGGAAATGGAGCAGAAGATTGTAAAGAAAAAGGACAAGGTAGTGACGAAGGAGATATTGATGAAGTACCTTATCCACCTCCTTTACAATCAGAATTATTATCACTCAGTAGAGACACGTATGATTTAATATTTTACATTCCATTTAATTAAAATCTTGAAGTCATTAAACAAATAATTTTACTATTTAGATTGGACAGTAAAAATCGTGTACAATCAGTTTTGAACAGCTTCACATATTCAGGAAGACTAAATCAAAATTTCATAACTAATGGTTATAATAATGGAATAACTAATGGTCTTACCAATGGAATAACTAATAGCCTTACCAATGGAATAACTAATGGTCTTACCAATGGAGTAACTAATGGTCTTACCAATGGAATAACTAATGGAAAGTCTCACGATCCAGGAGGGAACGGTAATAATAAATATCTAGAAAGAACTAAACTTATTTTTAATTTCAAATACAAAACATAGGAAAACAAAGGAACAGCGAACAAAATAGCTGGAATGGTGGTAGGACGCGATTTGAAGACATCAAACAGCTCAAAGAATTCAACGTGACCAGTAACAAACTTTTTAATCAACGGTGGTTTCAAGACAAAAAGTAAGAGAATTATCACTAAAGCACGAATTTTTAATGCATAATGTATAGAAAATTTATATAATTGTTCTACTTAAACGTTAAAACAAAAATTTATAGTTTTAATTTGTCATTTTTAACCTAAAACTTATAAAAAAATAACAACTTTTTGTTTTGACAAATGTTAACAAAATAATCTTCGAAACATTTAATATTAGTTCTTTTTTCTTTAAAATATTATTAATTGATACTATTTTAAACTTATTTTAATATTTTGTATAAATTTTCAATGATTTGGTGAAATATTTTGAGTATTTTTAAGATGTATTATATCTCTTATTTACCACGAGTTCTTTTTTTTCTTATTTTTAGATAACAATATTACACCTATTACTTTCTATAAGACTAAAAATAAATTTTACTTTTATAGATCAAGTGTATACTTTGAAATTCTTAATTATTTCATCAAAAATTATGTATAATTTACAGAAACCCCAGATCGAAAAATTTAAATGAAACGGGCAAGAGCAATAATATTTCCGCCACCCAAAATGGCAGCAGATGTGATAGTTAGGATGGAGGGTTGTTACCTTTTTTTTGTGTGTCCATGTGTGTAAAGATGTTTTTAAATATATATATATATATATATGTTGTTGTAATTTATAGTTGTTTTGTATAACATTATATAAGTTATTTAAGTTACTTACTTATGGAAAAATTTGCTAAGATAAAGTTTGTTCTCTAGACTTTACAGAACGTTATTTCTTGTTTAATTGTGTACATATTTTAAAGATAAAAGAAACAACTACTTATTTACATTATATACATTAGAATATTCAAAAGATAAGCATGTTATGAGTGATTAAAACAATGACTGTCTAAATTTAAAGCACGCGAAGTGCAAATTCTAACAACAAAAAAACATATACTCGCCACACGCACTTATGTTGTTTTTTATTATAAAAAGTCGTATATATTACATAAAACTATATGATGTTAGACTACTTAAATTCCTATTTTTATTTTATGGTACTTTTTTACCATATAAGAACATGTACATACATTTCTATTTGTTATTATTTTTTAATTGTAATAATTAATTTATATTTAAATAAAATAAATGGTAATTATCATATTACTTTTAATATTTATTTTTTTATTTCAAAAATCCTATTTTTTTAGTTAAAACTATTCTATATAGTAGAGCGTCAGTAATTCAACCGTTTTTCTGAAATCCGTTCCGATTTTTAGTTTAACTTATAATAATTGATCTTATCTCAAACAGCGTTAGATGTAATTTCAAAGTCAGTTTTCCTTCACCATAATCTATTCCAACAGAAAACTCGGTGTCATTGTCGACAAATGACTCATAACAGGTTGCAGACGTTTTGCTTTGTAACGCAAGTAACGCTACGCCGCAATTAAAAAAAATCCAATATTTACGTTGTATTATGGACGAGATAAGTTATGGACCTCTGTATTGGAGTGATAATGATGAATTAAAAGATTTGTAATAAATGACTTTTTTTATCAACAACATCGAACGTAATGTTTGTTAGCAAATCTGAGGCGGCCGCCTCCATCATGTTGTTATCATCAATATTCGGAGCAACTGTGCTATCGATAGTGACATAATCGGCTTATTTGTTTTCAACAGATTTGAAAAATGTGATGTTTGCGTCATCTCAATTGTATCGCCATTACATTGACCGGCAGCGAATTAATCGATCGCATCGTTTTAAATTTGTAGAAAGGCCCTCCGTGAGCTCACGAAGGTAGTGGGCCACTAAAAAGATTACTGAACTTACTCCACATGTTTGTGTCAGTAGTTCATACTCAGTCAGACGGGACTCGCGACAAAGTATGTGCTGATACGCACAATCAGCGGGACGTCCCGAAATTTGACGATACATCTTAGCACTGTCAGCGATGAAAACAAATGTTTAAGACGATTTTCAGGAAGAATAACTCGTAACTTGGACATGTCATCGTCTTGTTAATTCACCGCCTGATGTGATACAGAATATCGTCACAATTGAGTGGCGTACTTCATATCTCTTAGCGATATATCTTGCCAAACGGTAAGCGTAATGAAGTTGACAGTCTTCACTGAAATGTCGTTCTAATTTTGATTTCGCCGTTTCGAGTGATGATGTCGATTCAGTTGTGATTACTGCACAAGGTTCTTTGTCAATTTATTTTTCAAACGGTAGGTAGCCACGTAATTTTTATGGTAAGGTTTAATTCCGAAAAAACATTTTGAGTATTTTATATGATTTTGTTTGTAGATTTGAGACTTTAAAGATTATTAAGTGTTTGTAAGGCACTAGCTACATCAGAGTTATTTTATCGTACAGTACACTATAGTCTACTTGCTTATACGCTATTGACTCCGAGTCCGATACTGCAATACACTATTTGTTGTACGTTACTTCTTTTCCTATTAAAGACAATTAATGTTCAGGTTTCAACATTTGAAGGCGTATAACACAAAAAAAAATATTTTAAATTATTGTAAAGCTTTTATAATGAAAAGATGTTATTGCTTTACGAAAATTTATATTATTAAATAGTTTTGAAATGAGCGTCGTATCTTCTTAATCCCGTAAATATATAGCAAAACAGACCGGAAAAATTTGGTTCCAAAACACGAATACTTAAAGAATGATCAATCCGAAACTGGAAATATTATTAATCGGTTATTTGTTAACATAGGTTTAGCTAATTAATTGTAAAAAAAAATAATCTTTATGTATTTACACTATAAAAAATCATAAATTACAAAAACAAATTATAAGAAAAATAATGGTCATTATAATTCTTATAGTCACTAACAAAAAACATGATTAAAGTTTTCGATATGTTCTATCTTAAAAAAATGTTTGGTTAATTTATGATAAAATGATGTTTAAATTATTAAGAACACATTTGAATGTAAATTTTATAAATATATAAATAATTCGTTGCAGAGTTAATTTTTGGAGTAATGGTTACCGGTTCGAGGTTAGAACCATGCTGAAGGCATAGTTTGTTATCTACTTGGCTTATCATTTTTGTTGTTGTTTTTCACCTTATAATTTTTATTTTTACATTTTCGTTGTTGTTCTTTTTCATCTTATAATTTTTTTTTTTCATTGTTGTTCTTCATATTGTTAGTTTTTTGATTTTATATTTATGTTATCTATGTTTTAAACCATTATATTCTTGAACTAACTTTTTCATTTACTACACTTTTACACCGTTAAACAATATGATAAGAATTTTTTTTTACTTATTTATATGCTTTATAATATATCAATTACTCACATAATAATAATTTTATTTTGTGATAAAAAATAATTATCCTTAAGGCAACCACTGCTCCTGAATTCGAAAATAATTCTAAATATGATAATGCATTTGAATATAAAATATGCTAATATGTACACTTTAGATTCTGATGAAAATTTTATCACAAATATTAAATATGTGTGATAAAATTTTATCATAAATGCAACAAAGAATTAATTTCAATATTTTAACAGGTTTTGCCCGACTTGATCTAAGCTAAATTGACTTTTCCCCTTCTGTTGGAACATGTTAGTCGAATATGCTGTCAAAAAATTGTGTTGTGATTATTCATGTTATTGTTGTGTTACATCGAGTTGTTGTGGGTCTTCTCTCTATGTCTGCAATGTCGCCGCCATCTTAACGCTTCTTCTTCTATAGGCTCTATGGCGTTTACGAGCCAGTAGTTTTGTATTCGTTTTGCTGTAAAAGTAAAATATCACCTTTGCGATTGTCGCACCCTGTGCGTTCATTTTTACGCCGTTGGGTCTATATATTTTCTGAGATACAACACAGTACCGTTCGCAGCATATTGTACACGTTGGTCAGCTACTTGCATTCGATTTCAATTGATCCTTTCAATATTCAACATTATCATCAGTCATTTCATTTGGCCGATAAGTATAATGCTTGTTCACCTATCTTTCTAAGACTTACTAACTACTATAATTTATTATTTGTTTATATCAGCGCCTTTGTGGCATTAGTATTAAGTGTCCCCCTATCCACATTGATGTATATAAGATTTTATATTTCTTATATAATGCATTTAATTGTTATCATTATATATTGTAAAATTCATTCTACATTCTAACATACAGTTCACTCACCTCGACATACCTAAAGACTTAAGACAAAATAAAACCACGAACGTTAACGAACCCGCGTGAATACCACCGGGCGCTGCGTTCATTTACCCTCCCTAATAATATATTTAATTAACAATAAATATAATTCTTTGAATTTTTTCGGAGGAAGGTTTATTGTTATACTAGTGTTCCATATAAATTCTTATAAGAAAAATATCATACCTTATGAAATTTTTAATCTAATTTAAAAAGTAAATTAACCATTTTTGATTATGTTCATCATTTTTTTCGAATTTAAGTTATTTAATTTATAATTTATTAACTTTTAACAGTTAAATTATCGGTATTGTTCCTGTTGTATTCAAATCAATTTGAATTAATTATTTCCATTACATGACCCATCTTTGAAAAAAACTGCTTTGTAGTTGGTTACATTTTAAACAGGATATTTTATGCATATATTATATATATTATACAAATATTTTAGCTTCGATGCGAAGCTGAGAAGGTATTAATTTTACCATGATGTGTTTATTTTTTTTTTTATTTTTTTTTTTATTNAAAACTGCTTTGTAGTTGGTTACATTTTAAACAGGATATTTTATGCATATATAAATATTATACAAATATTTTTATAACATTTTTTTAAATTTCTGCGTGAGATAAGGACAGCTAATCCGTAGTTCCTAGTTATATGCTTACACCTCGTACAAACTTATTAATACACGAATAAAGATAGATTAACAATTTACACAATAACTTGGAAAGCGAACTGCACACATTTAGTGCACAGTATTTTACATGTTAAAAATATTTATTCAAACAAAACAAAAACATGGTGCTCACAATTGAAATAGCATAGAACTTAGAATTATTTTATGATACAACTATCTCTTTATCCCATGATTGCTACTCAAGTACCAAAATTTGACGGTAGTTTACTTAAGCTTTTATGCAATTATGAGAGTCCCCTCTCATAATTTGTTTGTTCTGATTAGCTTATTATCACACTTCTATCTTTACTCTTATCATTGTTATTTTTTATTATCAGTTTTGGTATCACCTACACCTACACTAGTGATCGATTTAAGTCAACTCTTAACTTTAAACCCAACTCTCATGAGATGGAAACTCACGCGCCAAAACCCCTCAGAAAAGGTATTTCTATCCCAAATCCAACCAATATAAACATGTTAGTCTAAAAGACTTAGTGATTCAATAAGTCCAAACCACAAAGCGCAAATTTTAAGATTAATGATAAAAACAAGACACTTTAAAATAAGCCAATTAAAATAGATCATAGAGCAAAAACGCTTTGTCTTTGGGCAAAAACGTTTTGATAAATATTTAAATTCTAAAACAATATAGCTACATTTTGTTGAAAATTAAAAATGAAGGAATTTAAAATCAGTTAATGTGCTTGTAAAAAATGTGTGTTTAAATCGAATTGAACAGTTTTATAAACATGCAATTTTAATATAATTATTTACATAAGAATAAAAAATAAAATAA